GAATAAGAAAAAAATAATTTCAAAATTATAAACAAAATAATAAGTCGAAAATTTGACCTTTTTCCGAGTCTTTTGACATCCTTCGAGTTTCTTCGATTTTTCGATATGAAAAATCAGTTTTGGAAAATCGAAGCACACATACTCGTGATCAGCGTTAAACGCTCTTTCGAATGGTGTATAAAAAGTTCGAAAAAAAATTGTGCTCCGTTTTTGCTTTACGTGCACCTTCTATATTCGAACGATTTTTCTAAAAGTGGTATCGCTTAATATCGTACTTCATTTTTAGCTGATGAATTATGAATGTAATACAAATACTTTCTCATTTTTTTTCTGAACTTTCTCATTTTCATGTTTTTGAAATGAAAATTGTTTTAACTATGCTGTTTCTGTTTCTGTTTCTCTGAAAATAAATCTGTTTAAGGACTAATCGGTATGTGACACATCCATTTTTGTTGCTTACCCTTGGAAGTTTGTGACAAAGACATGTGTAAAGAATGAGTGAAAAAGTCAAAAATATCATCTTCATATTCGATTTTTCCTTTCTTTATCTTTTATTTTCTGATTTTAATCATCTTCTTCGTTTAGATACGAACTATTTTTCGTAAACTAATGTAGAATTAGTAGAAAGAGGATTAGTGATTTGTCTACATTTGGTAATCGTCAGTGGTTTGCTTTGCATTACTTAGTTCAGTGTCCAATAGCCCAGCCGTTCTTTTTCCTTTGATATGGTTTATACAATAACTTAAATTTGTGAGTAACTGTCAAACCCTTGATACAAAAACCATTGAATCAATTTTTGAACATAAGTATTTAATTCTACACACTCCTAATGTATACATGGGAATTTGTTTTATGATATATGCTCATCATGAAAATATATCTGAGTCTAATCTATCAAGAATACCTAGAGCTGAATATATCATCCAAACATATGTTTTGTCGTTTTTTCGATAAACTGATTCGACATCTGTCCTTGTATGTATTAACTCACACACGTATCTGATTTAATATTTTTATGTCTATACTGTAGTGTAGATGTAACCGTTTTGAGAGAAATTGTACAAAGGTCATTTTATCAATAATATACTGTATAAAAAATGAGTATATTCTATATTTGATTTTTTGTATGTGAAAGATATTTTTGTAACAATGATGATCAATATTCTATTTTTTCCTTTTTGTACTATCATACTTTGCTTGGATCATCTATATACGTTTGGACGTTGAAGAGGAAAAGCACACTTCTATTGTACTCTAGATTCTATCAGTAAATAGAGTTACCCACACGCAAGGTGTCTAAAAAGTGTGATTTAGACGATTAAAAATTATATGCACCCTTAGACAATAATTGTTTTCAAGATAGTTTGGAATTTGAATCTGATTTTGATTTTCAATTGTTTAAGAGCATGTATCAACAATTTTGATCTTACACGAAAAAAATATCATATGTAGCGGTTTTATTTGACCAGTGTAACATGAGAGCTTATTTTAATTTGCATAGCCAATTTTGTTAAGGATCTGTTCGGGTTTTATTTAATTTATAACAAATGCGTTATTGAAGGATTGATGTTAGATCTTCTACATAGTTTACTTGCTGAATAAATATGCTTCTCTCTTGTTTTCTCTCTCTTCCCTCTTGCATTAGTTGAACCACTCAGGCGTGACTAACTCGAATAGTGATTAATTATAGTCCAATGAGTTCTTCGTTAGTTGTCTCTTGCTAAAGATATTGGGAACACAAAAAGAAAATACCCTTTTAATATCGAATATCTCCACCGTCAGAAGCAAACAAGGTAGTTTTTTTCTTTCAAAAACTATCTTACTTAACGTTTATGTTTCTCATCTTTTTTCCATTTCATTTTAGGAGAAGATTAAAGTTTTCTCTGCCAATGTCCGCCTTTGAGAAGACCCATGGTATATCAATTGATGAGCCGCCTGTTGCTCATCAAGCTATTCTATTTATACTCCATGTACTCATACGTAATGAGAAAGAAATGACACTAACAAAACTCTATGATAGTTTTAGTGATAAAACATTTACAACACAAATGCTCAGAGAAGTGGGTGGAAATGAGCAAGGTGAGTTCGTTTTAGATTTCGTAACAATAAGATGGCTTGTCTTTATAAGAATATTTGCGTTATTACTTTAACACAACCAGACATTGCAGGAGAAACTGACTACAGTATCCGACGTTTTCAATATAACTTTGGCGAGGAAATAGAGAAGATTTTAGTGAAAAACGACGTTTCACTTACTCAAGTCAAAAGTAGTTGTTACTCTTTATTATATAGTGCACAAAAAAACTGACTCACTCAACGGGAGCCATTTCCACCGTAGCTACTCAAAAAATTTTATCATGTATTCTCGTTACCACGTCGCTTAAATTGTTTCCGAGTAACTTTTTAACAGAAGGTAGAATTATTCGTTTTTATCTTCCGGATGGAAATCACTGACTGTACTGCCTGGTAGAGTTTACAGCACAAATAATAGTTTATAATTCCTTTTGCAACTGTTTAATGTTACTTCATATTTGTTTAGGACTTCAACAGTTCTTGCTCCAATATCCGTCAATATTTACGGTGACAAATGAAAAAGTATCAGCGAATAGCGATACACCAGTACGTCCAATAATATCATCATCATCTGGAACAAATTTACACATACAAAAACCATCATCGAGTACAACATCTTCTTCACAACGTTACACATCGCGTCCGACATTATCATTAAATAAACATACGAATGATTTAACATCGCCTACTATAAGCAATAGTTTAACAGATGCAAATAATTCAAATCAAGACGATGGACCACAGTGGGACGCTAAAACAATGAAAGAAATCGAACAAGAAGCTATTATATTCTTTCGAAAACAAATACAAAAACGGGAAGAAGAATGGTTACCAATTGTTAGCGTTGCCGGTCATGCTAGTCAAGCATCATGTGATGTTAGAAAATTTGTTGGACCACAGAATGAATTCAAAACATTTTTAGTACGTTATCCACAAACATTTATTGTTAGAGAGGATTATTGTGGACTTAGAGGTACATAAACAACTGGTAATTGATATTTTTGCCTAAATTATGTTTATCTTTGTAGGAAAATGTGATCAACCAGGTGTTCCATTTCCTCCACCCTCTCCTCCTCCAAAGCGGCGAATAATAAATGGGGTTGGCAATATGCCTCTAGTAATAAATGGTAATGGCAGTAGTTTAACTCGTTCAACGTCATTCAGGAGTAATGGTCGTGGTGGTCTTGTGTCAACACCGACTTCTGTCACAAATAATGGTCTATCGAAACGTTTGACTCCTATCGAAGTGAAAGCTGTTCATTATGTTATGCGTTTATTGTATAAAAATGGTCGACTCCTATTGCAAAATGTGTCGGGTTTAATAGTACGTGCACCTGATTATCTATCAAACGTAATTGGTTTTACAAGAGATGATTTAATTGTGTTTTTCAAACGTCATAATGCCATATTTCAATTACATACAGATGGATGTATCAGTGTTAAACAAGATGCCGTTAAAGCATTAATTCTCAAAGAACGTTCATATGGTGAAAATTCACAATTTACATCCAGCGGGATTGTGCTAAGAATATTTCCAAAATATGGCATATTAAACATGGACAATAATGAACAAGTGTTCTTTGACATTCAGTCGTGTCAATTTGAAACATTTAATGATTTAACATGTGTACTGCATCCAGGAGATTATATTTATTTCAATGCAATACTCGGACCAAAAGAAGGTTAGAAGAGTGTTTAACTAAGAAACTTATCTCAAATATCTGAATGAATAAGTTTGTTGAACATGGGAGAGTTTTCTCCGAATATTGAACTTTTATCATAAAGAATCTTAGAATGACATTTCTTGCTGAATATATCCAGCTGAGATAATGTGATCGTTGTGAATATACTTATACTTCTATCTTTAGGTTCAACAAAATGGAAATCGTTAAAAACATGGACAAAACAACCGAAACCGCAACAACTTTCCCAATCACCATCGGCCAATAATCTATCAACTTCGACGGGTTGTACATCCCCGTCGTACGATTTAATCGATGATCAACAAGATTTAAATCAATATCAACTCGAAAATGGTGAAGATGATTTGACAAGTGAACAACAAGATTTAATAAATTCTTCAAGATATTCGTCTAATCAAAATTCGTTTCCACCACCCGCTTTACTCTCACCATCGACTCCATTAAGTGCTACTACCAATGGTAATCATCCTGTTTCTCTTCTGTCATCTACATGTATAACTCAACAATATCCACCACCATCAAACATTGGTCCCATGCCAAAAATGGTCAGTGGTGTTGATCCGGACATGCTAACAAAAAAAATTAAACAGTTACAAACTCAATGTACAATTCCCAATGATATATCGTTAAAAGAAAATTTCTCCGATAAATTTCTCAGTCAAGGATGTCAAACAATTACAACGGGTGAAATATTAGCAACAAATATACATATCGACTAATCTTTTGATTTTTTTCTCTCTCTTTGTTTTGTTCTAATTTATTGGTATTTGTATTTTGCTCTATCTCTATCAGCATGTGCAAAGAAAAGCAACTCTCTGCTTCTATAGTTATTTACACATGAATATTATATGTGTGTGAGTCCCAGTTTATTGACAGATATATCGATTGATTTGTCTTATTTCTCGTGTTTTATTTCTCTTCTCACAAAAAAAAACATTGCGTTTTTTTTTTGTATGTATTTCATTTTTTTTTTTATTGCTTTCTTATTTGTTTTAAGCTTATTTAAGTTTTGTTTTTTTATTATTATGGCGATTATTAACGAAGAACTTATGGCAGTATAAAAGCGACATCTTTTCATTTAACAGACAGTATGCTGAAGTGGTGGCTATGAGTTTTCCTTTTATTCACTAAGAGTAATCTAAAATCGCGTTAAAGAATTTTCATATGGCAATAAAAATCCACAAGTGAATGAAAGGTGGTAAATATCATCAAAATTAGAAGAAAATTCAATGAAATTTATTTAGTAGAAAAAAAAAAAAGAAGAAGGTATTGTGATTTGACATATAGGAAAGTAACGGATACAATAGCCATGCCCATTCGTGTATTTACATCATTTAAAAATTTATACATATTATTTTTCAATGATAATAGTTTGTCTTGGCATTAAACGTATTGAATTTAATTTATATTCATCGTTACTAGTTGGTAATAATTGACTATTTAAAATAATATTTGCTTGTTCTCTCGATGAACTTAATTTTTCATTAATATATTCGTACGTATTCAAATTTGATACGAGCCATACCGTCTTTTGTCCAGGACATACACGTTTAATAACAATTGATGTCATTTCATTTTGTGAAGGAAATTCAAGATAACTACTACTCAAACATGTACAACGTAATTGTATATTTACACGAGATAATCTTTTTAACCAGTTAAACAATGAATCGGGATCATTTTCAACGTCTATAACAGTTTTTCCTTGTCCTCCATCATAAATATACGGTCTAACTGTTGAAAATCCATACCATTGTTCAGAATTCCATCTATATAAATAGGTTCGACTACTAGTCGTAGTTGAAGCTATTAAATTTTCATTTGTTACTTCTAATTCATCACCATATGTCAAAATATAACCATTACCTGGCATCAATGATAAAAGTGAATAAAGAATTTTTAAATAATCTCTTGCATCGTTTAGATTAATTCTATCATTAATTGAACTTAATCTCCATAATGTTTTTGAATAAATATGATAACGAAGTATAGTGTTTAAATATGTTTTTAATTGATAAATGTTACTTGGTGAGAGACGACGATCAATATAATCTGAATTACTGGCAAAAAATTCCGTTATAATATGTTGATGTGGAAAACGTGAACGAACTAATTGAACTAAACGTGAACCATGAAGATCAGAACGAAATAAAGAATGACTGGGAGGTGTTTGAATAATTATACCAAACAATGAGGATACTTGAATCCATGGGATCAATGCATCATTGAGCAAATTTTCATACTTAATAATAAAAAAAAAAAAAATGGAGTTTGTTTTTCACAAATCATTAAAACTGAACAATAACGTTATATGATGAATTATTTTTTTTTAATCACAATTATTAAAATAAAAAGTATATTACATCTTTTCTAACATACCTGATCATCTATTTCTGTTGATTGTAATAATGGTAATTGTATTTCAATAATTGTCTAAAAAAAAAAATAAGAATCAATTTAACTTCTATTCTAGTTTACAGATATAATAATTATTTTTACTTTAATATTCATTCGATTAGCTTGTTCAATTAATTGATTTAATGTTTCTATATCACCTAATTGAGGTGCAATTCCTTCATGTACCCACGGTCCATTATTACAAACAAAACCACCTAAACAACGTAATAATATTGCATTTATATTAAAATGTAATTTTAAATAATGTAATCGTTGACTAACACCATTTAAATCACCAATTCCATCAGAATTTGTATCAAAAAAATTAAATGGATTTATTTCATAGATATAAAGATTTTCTAATGATGTTTGTCGATCACAATAGGGACGAAGAGAATAATAGAAAATAATTCCAAGTGATAATAATAATAAAAATATAACAATTGATGCTAATATCCATTTCCAATATGTTTTAAGACAAGATTTTTTTAATTTTTCATCATCTTCTTTTGACTCTTTTAAATAAACTGCTCCTTTTTGTCTTGTAGGTATAATATTTTTAACATAAAGAATAAGTTCATTTTTAAATGATAATCTTTTTGGTTGAATATTATTATCATTCATTTTTAAATCATCATTTGTTAATTTATCATGATGAAATGTTTCTAATGTTTGTCGAGTAATATTATTTTCAATTTGTGATTGTTCTTCTTGTTCATCTTCAATATCAGCAAATGTTATATTTGTCATATTACTAATTGATGTTGCACGTGATTTTTGATGAACAACATTACGTTGATCTAATTCATTCATATCAGAATATGATGGCGGTTGTTCATCACCACCATTTTGAATATCATCATCACAATGTCGAATAAATGGTCGAACAAAACCCTTGAAGAGAAAATAATTATGAACTAATTCAATTTTTCGATATATAATCTTCATCTGTTGTTTATTTGTTTTTTTTTGGAAAAGAATTAAAACGTTTCATAATGGAGTACCAAAGGCGGCGGAATGTTTTTGGGCGAAGCAAGGCTCAGGCTTGTGCCTTTCAAAACCTCCAACAGGGGAGAGGGAGGGGGAATTTTCGAAAAAACAATTTCGCTAATGCGTTTTTCCATAAAGTATTATATTATTGCTAGGCTATCTAATATGAACAGCAAATTCCGTGTAAAGTGGTGGAAAAACGAAACTAATTTTTTCATATTAAGGCAAAACCTAACGGAGCCAAATTGAGGCAAGGCTCAAGCCTAACGAGCCTAGTGACTTCACTGCCTATGTGGAGTACATATTATAAATAAATACAATTTTACCTTAATTGAACGTTTTTTATCTTTATTTTTCTTCTTTTTTTCTTCTATAATATTATTGTCTAGAACAGATCCGGCTAATTTTAATGCACTTCCACTACTAATAGCTGCTGATGTATTTTGTGCTGAATCCATCATTTCACATGATCTTTCATCTTGTGATGATACTCGTTTAACAAACATTTCACCTAACGATTGTCTTAATGGTGGTGGAACTGTACGCATATGAGGTTGTTGTTTTGTTATTATTGTTTGACTATCACAATTATTTGAGTCAGATGAAGTGGATATAGATAATTTTCGTGGTAAAACAAATGGAATATTTCGACTAAGAGATGTTGATGAATCTAAATGAGATCTGTCTGGTAAATAGTATGGTACTGTTGTATACACATTTTGACTATGATTATATTGATTATCGCTTGTTATAGATGAAACTGGTGATTGTGAATATTGAGAATAGGCCAAATCAATATCAGTAACTGTTGGTGGTCCAATACCAGGAGGACGATGGTACATTGCGTCTGTTATTAATTAGCCTAAAGAAAAAAAATAGCATTTTTAAATTAAAGTTTAATTTGACACCAAATACCTATCTTATTTGAGTGTATTTTTTTTTTTATTTTTATTTTTACACATTTTTGGTAATTCAAATAAACGCTCAGTTATTCTTATCTTGGAATTCTATTTTTTGCAAATAATAAGCGATCAACAATATCATGTTTCGATTATTTTAAAAATTTAATTTATTTCGCTTTTTACTTAAACACTTCAACTAAGAAACATAGTTTATTTTATTAAAATCATCAACAAGTTCAGTTCACTTCACATAAAATGTGGTGAATAATTTGTTCGATGAGCATCGAGTCTTAGAATATACATATTTATTCGCATAAAACACTTGTTTGTGGTTTATTTTTTAACGAAAATTATTTATTATCATGATGTGTATTGATTTGACAATCACTTACCGCTGTACTGTGCTTATTTAAAGTTTGATTCTCAATTGAATATTAAACACTAACAAAGTAATCTTTCTCTTTCTCTCTCTGTATATTTCGAGATATACTGGCTCTGTTTACTATGTCGTTTTTGTTAAACATATTTTTTTTTTCTTCTATTGTTCAATTTTTGGTCGTTGTTAATCTTTATATAAGTTTGATCAGAGCTTGTGAAATATAATGAATAGAATTTGAGACAATAATAATTATGGACACTTCAAAATAGAAAACAACGTAGATACGATAAAAATTATGAGGGGTCATTATTTCTAACACGTTTATGTAAAAAAATTGTCTCTATTTTCTTTGACCTGTTTCTGTCTCTCTTTCTCTCTCTCTCTTTTCCTGTATTACTACTGGCGGTCATTTAGACTACTTTTTTTTTATTCTCATGTATCTGATATTACATAAATTTAACATACGTACATACTGTTCTATTCAATAACAATGATCAACATAGTCTTGAATTCTTTTTTTTTTTTGATTTATTTTTCTTTAATACTGACTATTGAATGGAACGGTACACCGTATAGTCGATGAAAGGTATACACATCCGTTACGAAAGTTAACTTGTACGGCTACTAATCAACTTTGATTTTTATTTTTATTTTTTTGATTTATGCCTATTGCAGAGTTATTTTGATTGTTAACGATGATATCTGTAACTATAAATATCCTATTTTATAAAATTTTCATATTCTTATAGTTCTGGATTGATGAACAATTTTCTTTCGCTTATTGCTCTTAATGACTCGCAATTAACATGGAAAAGTAGAAAATAAACATCGTATTTTGCTTACATGTCCGCCGATTAAGCACACCCATCTATTTTCAACAAAACCGAAAGATAAACATCATATTGAACGTAAATTAAACAAATCAGTTACTATACATCTTTTATCCGTTCTCGAGAAGAAAAAGATTAATGTTTATTTTACGTGAACAAAAAGAATGTTAATCAAAGCAGATTATATTACACTATCTCACATACGTGTGTATATTGTTCATTGACGAGCAAAGACATTTTATGAACATTATTGAAATAAATCACTAAAAGGTCTTAAATAGTGAAATTCATGTGTATGTTTTCTCATTCAAGTGAAGAGAGAAGCTCTCCAGGTGTCTCTTTATATAAAATGTTGTTATAGGTAATCTAAGATTCTAGTTACGAAATCGACATCTGTTTTGAAAGATGTGCAAAGTTACAACATTTTGACAACTTGTCTCTTAACTTTTGACACTAATCCTAACTTAATTTATGAATTTTTTTTGTCAATTATTCTAGTACAATCCATACAAAGTTAAGATTTTAGAAACATTATCATCTCTAGTTTGTTTTCATGTCGTTGCATATCGAATCTAAATGTGACTGAATAAAAAACATCGATTTTGAAAAATTCATATTTTGTTTTTTGAATAATAACTTACTGTTTGTCGAAAACACTCTTAATGGACCGTTACTGATATTTATCATTTTTGTGGCAAATGTTATTAGAAGAATAGTACAACTAAGTCTTCTTGGAAATGAATAGTAATAGACGTTAGTTTTGTTAATGTGACCTTACAGTCATTCTTAGTGCAACATTCAGCAAAACAGATCATCTATAGTTTATTATGCATTTCAATCTATAAACAATTTTGCAATCAAAACGTAATCTCTAATTTTTGTCAAAGGTATATTCTAAAGAACATTGAGTTACTAATGTACGAATTTTTTTGAGATTAACTAAGTATTTACACTTTGATGGAAGACTTGAAGAAAAAGTTCAAGAATTGTTACACACAGATGAATAGATTGTATTTTGGACAAAAGCATCTGGAAGAATTTCTAAAAGGTTCGAAAGTAATAAATACGAAAAGAAGTGCTTAGAATCATTTCTAAAGAATATTGTAAACATTGTTTTCTTTATTCTACAATAACGGAAAACGTTCTATACACTCTTTTTAGAAAATATCTCTGTCGTCCAGTGAAAATGCGATGGTACTAGTGTGAAATTATTCAAAACTCTGATGACTCTAGATTAGGATTTCTGTGAAGAAAAAAGATCTAGCTGATATCCCGTACATCAAATGAAAGCTCTTTGAATGTACTATCGCGATGATCTTGACTAAGATAGAAACTATTGCCTTTAAATAACGGAGTACGGGTGACGTCATTTTTGTATAGATTTGACTTTTTTAGTTTTTCTAACTAAACTCCAATGATCACCCTAATTATGCAATATGTAGCGGATTCTGGTGTCACAAGAAAGGACAGATTGCAACGAGTATATTGATACATAATGTGTCAAGAAAACTCTAAACACAAACAAGAAATCGATCAAACAAAATATGCAGTCCTCATTTTCAAACATGATTTTTACAAAATGGGTTATTGACGGCTTGTCTTTTAAAAATAATATCTCTTTTTCCAACTGATTGGTGTCCACTGTTCTATATATATTTTTTATAGACTAGAATCTACTCTTTCTAATGAAAAAAGAAGTAAGTGTGTACAATGTTTCTAGACTGAGACATGAAGCAAACAAAAAACGGAAAAAGCTTTTACTTCATCCGTTATATATATATATATCTTTTAAAGAAAACTATATCATCAGGAAAGCGAGGAAGCATGTGTAGGGCTAGCATCCTTTTAGTAATTCTCTCTGAAACTATTTAATCGTCTTATGTGATATAGACATAAGTTTTTTACTAGAATTCTATAGAGGTCAGAAAATATACTCTCAAAATGGGCCGTACTTCTTTAATGGGAGGACTATTTATTGTTAGAATGTGATGCTGAATTGGTGAAACGATCTTTATCTTTCTAGTGACTCAGATTTTGAGAAATAAGATCATCCAGTAAAATATTTTTATCCAAGATAGTATTTTAATACAGAACTACAGAGAAAAATATTGGTTTTATAGTAGAAACTAATAGAACATTTTAAATAGATGCTTACCAATCCATTTTTTTGTTGTTGTAATAAACAAGTGTACTTCCGTGTTCGTTTTCTTTTTTGTTTTGTATTTGAATATTTCGCATATATCAATATACTCCCTCTGTTTAGAATGATAATCAAACCGAGAGGGACACAGAAGCTTTATTCAAATGTCATACAGATAAAATAAATTCAACGAGAGGCCATCGAACGGTCAAAAAGTTAAACATACACACACACACTTTTTTTTTTGCATTTTTATTTTTCAAGCTAGAGAGACATGTCAACAGAGCATTGTCGTTACTTCGTTAAAAAGAATTAGAAAAATTTCATCTAACACAAATAATATTTTAAAGAAATGGAAAGTGTATTCAACAATAAATGATGGCACAATGTCGACTGAACTCTATTGCTATTCAGATTGCCAATATGATTAAATACTAAAATTGAATGAGACTTAGATTCCATCTCTGAATGAATTAACATTCGATTTATTTGTTCTGTGAGTTTAGTTTAAAAGTAGGGCTTCAAATGATAGAACGATGATACAAGAATAAAATTGTGTATCTATATATTATAAAGGAACACAATGCATGATGATTTTATACTAATATTCGATCGAGATTCGTTCTCTAGCATAAGAAGTCTGCTAAAATAGACAATTAATCACTAATTAATGCTAAAGTTATCAACTACGCGGCTTGTCCAAACGTCACCGCGTTACGTTTTTGACGCTCTAAACTGCGGTTATCTCAGAAACTAAAGTAGCTAGAAAGTTCGTTCAAATGTCAGTGGACGCAGTTCATCATGTTCTACTTATGCTGTGAAAACGAAACTTTTGCATGTTGTATTGGGGTTCGAGAAGAATTTTAGTGTTATGTCACTGCGTTACGAAAAAAGACCCTTTTTTAAGAATGCTGCTCCGAAAATCCTGATTTGCTGCGAAAGTAGTTCTCCAAACGGAACATTCCTTGAGTCGATCCTGTAGAACAGCTCACGGGCTTTCTAATGGTAAAAAAATGTTTCACCTAGCTTATTAGATTTGCCTGAAAAACACAAAATATAAGCGTCACAGCGTTACGTTTTCCGTCACGGCGTTACCCACTTTTTTGTCAAGCATATTTGAGGCACTTAACACGATGGTAAAGTTTTGATTTTTACAACTACCTGTGTTCTTTGTATATTTGATCGATCTGCGCAAAAATCAAGTTGCTGTATCAAAATAAGAGCTCAAAAACTGGATAGTAAGTCGGAAACTGTACAACTATGTACAAATTGTATATAGCAAGTAAAGTCAAAAACAAATACGCTATTTTGTAGAGAACTGAATTTTCTACAAAAGCATATTTTTAGAAATTTGTTTTAAAAAATGTTTTTGGTTAAAACATTAAAAATTCGGTTATTAAAAAGTTCAAAACCAGGTTTTTTGGATGGAAAATGAACTTTTTTGAAAAACAAGCTTCAAACGGGTTCTTACAATAAAAAACTGAATCTAATCATGTGTTTAAAACTTTCGATATTGAAAAGAATTTTTTCAAAAACTTGATCAGCGAAGTGTACCGTTACGTGAACAAGCCGTAAGAAATGTTCAGTTTTT